CCCCACCCTGGCTGGGGGGGGCACGGCTCCATGTGGTCGCGCTGAGGCTGAGAGGTCCCGGGGGATTCTGCTGCCAGTGTTACACAGAGCGAGAGTGGGGGGACCTGCCACTCCCTTGGCACCAGGCACCACACTAGAGACCATAAAACAGCTCTGATGCCCCCTCCAACCTCAGAAGAGCCCCCAGGCATGATGCTGCCCAGACAGGGGTAGAAACTGCCTCGGTGGGGCCCGGTGTGGTGCTGAGGGACTGAGCGGCACCTCCCCATGGCTGGAGGAGAGACCCCACCCAGGCGAGCAGACCCCAGCAGACAGAGGGGCTCACCCGTCACTGCTATGGAGACGGGCCGGCTCCTCTCCGATTCGATCTCTCGCCCGGACTCTACTCTCCAGGACCCACAGGTGAAGGTGCCGGTTTGCAGTGGCGCCGACAGCCGAACGGAGGCGGTGGCCTGGTGCAGGCGGAGGCAGAGTTCCTCGGGGAGCAGTGTCTGGTCGTCCTTGTAGAAGCGGATCATGGAGTCGTTGGGCGCCCCCGCGGCTGAGCACGTCAGGGTGATCGATTCTCCAGCAACGTAGCCCAGCTGCTGCGGGGACACGCTGAGCTGAGGAGTCTGGAGCGGGGCTGGGAAGGACAAGGGGAGAGGATGAAGAGATGGTTTTATCTTGGGAGGCAGGTGGCAGAGATGAGACTCAATGACCCGATGTGCTCTGGGGAGTGTCTCAACCCGTCTGGGACCTGCCCCATGGACTCCAATGGAACAGCCACTTATCCCATTGGTCTGGCTGGGCCAACAGAGGCGTCTCTAGATCTAGCTGAGTCTCACCCCCTGGGATCTCACTCACTCATGGGAAAGACCCTGAAACCAGCCCACGGGTCCCTTGGGGTTTGTCTGTTTCCTTGTAACAACCTCTCAGGTACTTGAGATCTGCTCTGATGTCTCCTCTTTCCCAGCAAAACAAGCCCAGTTCTGCCAGTCTCCCCAGGGCAAGTTCTCCAGACCTGCCATCGTTGTGTTGCTTTTCTCTGGCCCCAACTTGAGGACTAATCCACAGGAGTGGAGCAGAAGAATCATTTCTCCTCTCACAACACTTCCCTTGTTCCAGCGTCACCCTGCTGACTCCTATTTCGCTTGTGGTCCTGACCCCTAGATTCCTTTCTGCAGGATTTCTTCCTAGACAGTTGCTTTCCATTCTGTGTGTAAGAGACGGATTGGTCCTTCCGAAGTGCAGCACTTTGCATTTGTCTTTATTGAACTTCATCTGGTTGACCTCAGACCATTTTCTGCAGTTTGTCTAGATCAGTTTGAATTATGTCCCTATCCTCTAAAGCACTTGACACCCCTCCCTGCTCAGTATCCTCTGCAATCTTTATATTTGTGTTCACCAGGCTATGATCAAATCATTGATGATTATGTTGAACACAACCAGATCTGGAACTAATCCCTGTGGAATCTTACAGTCCACCTGTGGAACTCCTTCCCAGAGGATGTTGTGAAGGCTAGAACTTTAACAGGGTTCAAAAAAGAACTAGATCAAATCATGGAGGTTGGGTTCACCAATACTTATTAGACAGTATGGGGAAGGAGGGGGGCCCCAGCC